CGCTGTGTTACAGGAGCCGCTGCGCTCAGCCCACCTGGTGGCGCGTGACCTGCTGCCGGCCCCGCTCCGCCCCGTCACGCCGCCCCCGCCCCCGCCCCCGCCCGCGCCCCGGTCCGCGCCGGCGACCGACGCCGCCTGGCTGACCCCTGTGCTGCTGAGCACGCTGGTCGTCTCGTGGCTGGTGCTGTACCTGCTGCCCGAGCCGCAGTGACGGCCGGCCACCGCCTCCCTCCCAGTGCCGCCGGCGGCCCCGTGAGTGCCCGCGGCCGCGCCGGCCGGGGACAGACGGTCTGGGCACGACGGGCGCCCTCCCCACCTCCCCATCTCCCTCTGCTGTGCTCCCGCGGCCATCCTGTTCTGTCTCTCTCTCCTGTGTCTCCGACCCGGCTGAGTTATATGTCTGGTTCTGTTCCGTTTGGGAATCGTGTCTAAGTTGCGTATTTTGTTTTTAATTTTCTGAATGCGCCCCGCCGCTTGCTGCTAGTTAGATTCATTGGTCCGGTTTTGTTTTCCGAGCGTTTGACGTTGACCTCTGGTGCTAACGGCATGCATTCGCTGCTGGTTGTAACCTAGCTCGATTCGCCGTGTAGTAGCGGGCTCGTGCAACTTGAAGGGCAGGCGGCGCGGCGTCCTCCATTTAACTCGGACGGGTATCTACCGAAAGTGGGAGAGCTCGGGGCACTATTCTACGAGGGTGATGGTGGTGTGATAGGGTTAATTATCTGCTGTGTAAAACCTCTTTCAGTAGCGGTTTGGCGATCGGATCAGCCGTCCGCGATTTCTTCTTTTTGTATTTCTTCTTTTTATGTTCTGTTTTGTTTCCTTGTCTTCTTTCTCTGTCGTTCTGTTCGGGTGAGTTTTATTTGGCCGCGGGAGCCGAGAGCCGGGAAACGAGCGCTTAGAGCTAAGGGCCGACGAGGAGCTAGAGCTGGGCCTAGGAGCTAGAGCTGAGAGCCAAGCGGCTAAAGCAAGCTCATCGCTTAAAGTTGAACGCCAAGCGTCTTTTGCTGACATTCCAGCGCTTGGAAATAAGAGCTCAGTATCTTTTGCAGAATCTTCAGCGCTGGAACCCAAGCGCACGGTATTGGCAGAATCGGGGAGGATTGGAGGGACAATTTCGGTGGAGGGGGTCACTGTCGCCCTTAGACCGTCTGTCCTCGTTATTTCGGTGCCTGGCGACCGCTGCGACTTGTGCCGTTTGGTGTGCCGTGGCCAACTAGGAACAGATACTGTTCAGTTTGAAATTATAACGTAAGTGGGATTTTCTAGTTGGGCATGGTGCACCTATTCAGAACCTAGCCTTACCAGGTGTTTGGCAACATCGACAGATGCTTAGCTAGAGGCTGACGTTCAGCCGCTTTGAACTAAAGGCTAAAACAAGATGTTTCATGTAGCTCATTTCCCTTCATCCCATGCTGTGTGCTGACGTTGTCAACAATTGCTTGGAATGAAAGGTAAATGCACATTTGCCAGCGTATTTGTGCTGGGCAGTGAATATCAAAGCACTTCACCTGGTAAGCTTGGGCTCTGAAACGGCGGTCGCAGTGGTATTTTGGGATTGGGGAAGGGTTTGGTGTGGTGTTTGCCAGTACCTACAATGTGTGTGGGACGACGTTTGGTGTAGGGTACTTTGGTGAGATAATCAAACCTGTATTTTAGCTATTTACTGTATGCCTGGCCTATTCAAATACATTAGCCAGAGAGGTGTGGTAATAACTGGTGTAAGCAAATTGACCACGGTCAAAAATGCATTACCAGAATGCACTTAAGCCAACATTTTTGGATGGTCTCGTTCCTAAGTCGGCTAAGAGCTTCGGTCCAGAAAATAAATTTATCGTTGGCATACAGTAAAATACATACCAAACTCGGCCGGTGATAAATTTTCAAGACCTCAGTCCTTACTGATTTTTGAACTCGGCCTTCGGCCTCGTTCAAAAATCCAGTAAGGACCTCGGTCTTGAAAATTTATTTACACCGGCCTCGTTCAGTATTATATATAACCAATACCAATGTATGAATGTGCTGACGCAGGTAAGTTCTATTGAAGTCTGCTGTCTTTTGATGCTGTCTGGCGTCATGTATCGTGTGTGTCATGTTCTGTGTTGGTACGACGATAACATTACGCTGACAGTACAATCGCCTGTCGCGGGCTGATTTCCTCTTTGAGCCAGTTAGTTTTCATAATACAAAGTTTGTAAGCTCTTAGCTGCTCGTCTTTCACGCTGTTCAATACCGCAGTAGCCGGATGTGCCTTTTATTGCCGATAAATAGACGACATTGGCTGGCATACATTTTCATTGAACTTCATTGCCATCAATTGTAGCTGTCTAACATTGTCCACTGTCCATGAACTGTGGCAGTGGTGACCCCGTTGCCCTTCCCCACCCTTGCACCGTACTGTGTCCATCCGCCTCCCTCCCCTGCCCTTCATCTAACCGGTGCTGTCGGGCCGATCCACAGGAGCATCTGTGCGCGCCCACGGACGTCAACCAGCTGCACACGCTGCCGCGAATCAGCGTCACTGTCGATCGGTTACTGAGGTTCGCTGCCCAACCGCCGCAGCAGCTTCAGAGCAACGTGTGACCGATTCAGCACCTTTAGAAGTAAAGTTATCTTGCTCAGCTTTGAAGACTGGCGTGTGAGGGGCTCGGCTCTGCAGAAGGATGTCTGAGAGCTCCCAGCGCGGCAGAGGAACGCGTAAGGACTTCCAGCAATCAGAGCAACATCTGAAGAATCAGCTGCGCAGGCAGTATCTGGGAACTCACCACTGCCGCTACGGCTTCAGAGCGTCGTCTTAGGTCTCGCCACAGCCACCGAACAACGTTTGGGGATTCACCTATGTAGAGCATAATGTCTGAGGACTCATCACAGCCAGTCCACGGCTTCTGAGCAACGTCTGGGGATTGTCAGCACTGCAAGGCAACCCCGAGGACTCAGCATTACAAAGCAACGTCTGAGGACGAAAAGCACTGGTGAGCAACGCTGCAGGGAGACATCTGGATTAGCTTTGTGAAGCAACGTTTCAGAGGATCGTCTGAAAAGTTTCGGAAAACTTGGGCAGAGCAATGTCCGAGGATCCGCGGACACTGCAGTGCATAGCAACGTTTGAGGACAAAAAGCACTCTTTAAGCAACGCTACAGAGAAAGGTGTGATGACCTTTGCACTGCAAGACATCTGAAGAGGCTCGTCACTGCAGGGTAGTCTGGGAACTCAGCGCTGGTTTGAGGACTGGCATCACTGCCGCCTCATTGGGGAGATTTGAGGATTGTGTTACTCCTGAGCTGTGGAGATTATGGAGTCGCCCACTGCTACCGGTACACTCAAGAACATTTGAGAACTCATAGAGGCGCCGTTGTAATATCAAGCTGTCGAGCTGCGCTTCACTACAATGCTCCGACCTTCGTCACTCGGATTTTCACCATCTGAAGGCGGAATGGGTTTTATTTACCGACTGAACATTGCGAAATTACAAATTCCACGAGAGTTCTATTGTTCACTTTTGTGATAGCATATTTGTGTGATTTATTGTGTTCATTATCCTGCAGTAGGTTGTGTGCAGATGTCTGCTGTTGCAGTGGGCTGTTGTGCCAACGAACCTTGTGCAACCTTGCCAATGTCGACGTCTTCGAGTAAGTTAGTGACATTTTGGGCACCATTCCTTACTCGTTCTCAATTATCATTTTGTTGCTCATTTGCTCTTCACATATGCTTTTAAAGCTAGCAATTTTCAGTACTCAGTCGTGTGGCTTGTTGCAGACATAGCCTACGAATTATTGTGCAAAAGATAGCGCGTTAGCATCCCACTATCGAGGTGCGGAACCCGTTTTTTTCTCTCTCAGCGGGCCGATTTGTGCTCATACTCTCATGCCTTGCTGTCCAAGCGGCGCGTCGCTGACCTCCCGTGTTCGTCACCTAGTCACTGGCGGTCACCCGGCCTGTCCCAGCGGCCTGCCGAGGACAAACTCCAGACACGGCCGGGGCAGTGGTCTGAGCGGGTACTACACCGTGGGTTATCGCCGTTTTCACGGTGTCAGAAAGGTGATTGGTGGCGGGCGGATAGGCTTCCGTGTGGAGATGGCATTAGTACGATGTACTTAGTTCGAGAACGATATATTATGGATGAGAGTTGTATTGTGCTATGAGGGAAGAAAGGTGTAAGCGCGTAAATGCTGATATATGAACATAGTATGTACTGTGATGGCCGATATCTTGCTTTGCGACATACCTACTGGAGAGCGAAAGGTTGAAAGGTTGGTGCGACGGCTTGCTATGTCACATTAGCAGAGTATTTATTGTAAGCGTACTTAGACCACCGCACCGCGGAGCATCTCAGCCCGTCACATACGCCTTGATTCATGTGTCGAATCAAAACACCACTGGATTAATGTGTTGTCTTAAGTCACGTGACCAGGGTCTATGTCTACCAGTGGTAGAGCCAGGATTCTATTTTGCTTGTGGCCACACCTCGCGATCTTCCGTTGGCCGACGTTTCGTCCTCTGGCGGAATCGGCCCCTGTCGCTGTGATACGTGAGGTGAGCGTGGTTATACTACCGCAGGTGAATACGAACTGCAACCGTGTCCTATGTCGCTGTCACCTACCGTCTGCCTCGCTTGGCCGTTCATTGTTTGTATTGCAAGTTCGTATTGTACAATATGAAACTGGAGCTTCGGAGTGTGTTTGTTGAGTTAGTCTCGACGCATTCACATATGAGAGATGCACACGGGATGCATGGGAATGTCTTGAGCCTTGAACTAATGAACTGAATTCTGATCGGTACCGCAAAGCTGATACAACAAAGTTGGCTTCCTTTTTTTCTTTGGGTTAGGCCCTTTCGGTCCAATGAGACCATTTCAGAGCCGGGAGGATGATAGGATATAGGGGGAGACATTGGTCTGGGCAGGCACCCTAGTGAGTCGCCGGGGCTGTAAAGTTGGCTTCCGCTCCCTTCCAAACCACCACACTGTCCGCTGCAGACTTTGTCTCAAACACCAGCGAGCCACAGTCAGACAGTTTATGTGGAAAAGTCTCCTCTTTCTCTCGCTCCCACTCTCTCATCACAAGCACCATGACAGAGCATACCGAAGAGGGTGGTTGTGGCAGCAGCGCGGCCACTTCGCCCATCACAGGGACGCCAGGAGGGTGTGCGCGCTCGCGTTAGAAAAGCAGCTCTCTCACAGACGGCGGCGCAGTCCGCCAGAGCGTACGTATTTTCACCGGCTGACAGCTCGGTGCGGGCCGCCCAACTGGCGTCATGGCACACACGCACATTCATGGAACGGAGCGGCCGGCGGGCCACCGCGGCCGGTCAGTGCGCCGCCCCATAAACCGCCGCTAAAGCAGGAGACAACCGGCGCGCCGCCGGAGCAGCCGGCGCGCGCGAACCACATTTGTAGGAGGGGCAGTCTGTGCGCGGAAGTAAATGTTCGCTAGCGTTCGCTACACCGATGAGAACAGGCTCCACACCAATGACACTGACACCACCATTCACAGCTGTAAAAGAGCCGGCGGCAGCCGCCGTGCCGGCCCTGCACCACATCGCCAGCCTCACCGCGGCGGGTCGCCCCGACCAGTGACGTCACCGCCCGAGTGTCACCACCGCCCACTGAGGTACCCTGGAGGCCGGCGCCGTTTGACTAGCGCTACATTTCGGTCTCTCACTGACCCACGCCGGCGCGCGTCGTATTAGTCTCTGTGCGGCAGTCGGCGCGCACCGCCCTACCGCCCGCGTACATACACAGAGGGGCGGGCTGATAGCAGCGCCACTCTTACCAGTGGCGCCGCACGTCCGTTTGTGTGTCTGTGTGCGTCTGTGTCACTGTGCGAATGGGATGTATGTATTTATCGCACGTCTCTCACGGCCGCTCGCGAGCGTAGTTAGAACATCTGATTGGACGAGGCCGTGACCTCGGCTAACCTCAGGTGACCTCGAATGACCCCTGTCGCCCAACGCCGTGCACACGTCGCGACATGAAATCACCGAGACCAGTCAGCCGGAGTCAGCCTCCGAGCCCCACGACACGACTCGACGCGACGAGAATCGACTCGACGCAACACATACCGACGCAGCACGAAAACACCACGAGAAGCGAAGCGCGCGCTCCCACACATGTGAGGAATGACAGTCAGGCAGAGGGGGTGCGGCTGGCCCAGGCCGCTCAGGCCTCCGTCTCCCCCGCCTTCAGCCGCAGTCGAGCAAAGTCCTCGAAGATGAGGTCGTCGTCGTGGTCGCCGGCGCCTGCCGTGCCCGTGTCCCTGCGGAGAGTGGAGCAGAGGTCAGGTGACGAGATCAGCAGACGTGGCGAACAGACTAGGGACACCTCGTCAGGGAGATCCTTTTCAAAACACAGGAGGGAGTTAGTTACATGGATCGTCACACCTACAAAATAGCTTGCTTCAACAGCACCAGCCGAAATTCCTGCAGGCGAAATGCCTCATTCCTGAGGCAAACAGATTCAAGAAATGCATTACTAAACTGGGCATTATTTATTTCCCTAGCTCATTGGGGTCTCCTATCCACCTGTTCACGCCCCATCACCCTTGCTAGCACACTGAGGTCCAGCAGTTCCACTGGTTCAGCTAAGTACTGCCGGTCCGCCCGACGGGACGAGCGCTGCCCACCCGACCGACCCGACCCGGTAGCTCCGAACAGACGTGATCAAAGCCAGACCCGTCACGCCAGCGGGCTCGGACTGACTGCAATTACACTGATTAGAATGGGCTCCACGAATCCCACTTCACAGGCCCCCGGATACGGACCTTCATCAAAATCGAAATCAATATGGCCATATTAAATGGAGCACGCTGTCAGGCATGTCATATCGGGTCGACAGGCCCACGCCAATGAGGCACCGGATAATGAATCAAGAAGCGGTTGATACTATAAGGCAGCAGGCAGCAGCATTATAGGCAGCAGCATTCAAGCCCAGTTGCATAATATTCTTCTCAAAGCATAAATTAGATATAAGTTGGGTGATAATCAACTCAGAATACGGTCAAACTTCGATCATAAGACAACGTCACCAAACATATCTCATAGAAATACAAATTTCCAGAAATTTGCAATAGAAATGCAACCCGATAAATTTGAAATGGATCATAGTTCAGGAAGAAGTTAGCAGCGCCAGAAGCGAATAACACATGTGTCGTGTCTGACATGAGAATGAACTAACGTCAGCTCCACACACCAGTTGGTTCATCTCATGCCACTCCACAGCATGCCGCTCATGCTGCATCCTAAATAAAGCACAAGACCAATCCATCATCTCGCAGTCTACCAATCGTTCTGTGAGGTCCCAAGGGTCACGTCTAGGGTCCCCCGAGGGTTACAGAGGACGCCCTGTCGCGTGTGTCACTCACTCTAGCTGGATGAGATTGGCGTCTGCCGGCTCCTCGCTGGGTGACTCGGCGCGTGGCGATGCCGCCGGCTTCGTCACCTCCTCTTCCTCCGGCTTGGGGTGCATCAGTGTGAAGGGCAGCTCGGCAGACAGCTCTCTGTTGGACAGGACAGGACAGTGAGACAGCGGGCAAAACAGCGTGAGGGGCAACTCGGAAGGTTGGACAAGACAAGACAGTAAACACCGGACAGACCATCAATGGCGAGGGAAAATTAATATTTGGCAAGTAATGAGACAGAAGAGGAACGGATCTTGACGTTCTGAAATAACCTGACCACGGTCGCCCGGTTAGGGATTATAACAGCGCGTCATTGCATCTCTATCCTCTCTCTTCCATTCAGCACGCTCGCACCCGCGTCTCCCCAATCTCCCTTCCCTTCCTGTCTAGTGTCCAGCCTGCCTATTTAGCCCCACGCTGACCTCAGCATCCCGTCAGCGTCCGGCCCGCTGACACCCAGTCGCCGACACTGTACGAGACCCCACGACATTCTGCTGGTCAGCTCACTAATATCCTTCCTGGTCCGTGCACCCGACTACCTCCCTGACTCAGCCTGTCTGGAGTCACGGGATGCCCTAGTGGGACCCATGTGGGGCGCCCAGGTCACCGGAGGTTAGATCGCAGGACAGTGAGCCACATCCTGTGTCAAAGGGATGCCACCGGAGTCAGATGGAACGTGCTGCGCTCTGGCGAGCGCTGGGCCTCTGATGCCAAAGGGTGTAGGAAGTCCGCACTCCGCTGTGACCCCTGGCGGAGGGAGGGGGTTTGCAGGTTCACTCGTGTATCCTGCGGCTAAACGTGGAAAAGGAGGAAGAAGGGCCGTGGGTGGGAGCAAAGGCAAGGAACACCAGCGCCCCACTTTGGAAAAAATGCCAGGAATCTCGCGTCTGGTTGTCCCTGAGCTGATCAGTGAACAAACTGGTGGGTCGCCAGATCGCACCATTGAAGTAGCGCAAGTGACATTGAAGTCAATGTCCGTTTCTTCCCGGTGGTTAATCTCTCAAACATGCCACTGGCACCAAAACTCGGACAATTTCTCATCAGACAGCCTCAGTTTCAGCGGTGAGCCACCATCTCGTCCGATGCTCGATCTGAACCTCAGCCCCGCTCCGACCCCGACGACCAAATCTGATCTACTGCCGTGTTCGATCGGCCGGTCGTCTCCGCGCCGGCTGCTGGGGACCGATGGCGGCGTCGCTGACGTCCCGACATCACTCTGGCGTCACTGATGGCCCTAGCAGTGATTTACGTCCACCCCAGCCGGCGCCCCCGCCGCCGTCCGACGAGACGATAGTGGGCGGATGGCTGAGGTCAGGCCAGTGACCGTCAGGACATCGCGTGGCTTCCTTTCACCAGATGCCCTAGGAAAGTGAACGATTCCGACTACGGACAATCCATCATCAACTCGAGAGGTTCATCAATAGAGTTTCCTTCGTTGCCAGATTACAGACCGAAAGGCTTTCTAGCAGCCCAGACCCCCCCCCCCCCCGGAAAACGAAGTTTCTCGCGGACCAGATAAGCCAGGGAACCTAGCACAGCGGGCTTAAATGGTATGGAATCAAATGAGCCTCTAACAGACCAGGCCCTACGGAAACCAAGCAGTCCGAAGCAATCGAACACATCAATGACGGACCAAATCCGTAGCTGTGGAAATGACATTTGATGACGACTTTACGACTTTGTACCCTATGCTCTTTGGCAATAGATTTACCAGGAGCATCAAATGATTCCGAAGAAAGAAAGTCCGCTATAAATGACGGCGATGTATTTCAGAGGACAGCGCCGACGTTTCGTGGCGACAGTTCATCCTCTGTATCTTATAACGCTCGAGCTTTGTGAGGAGGCACGCCCGAGCTCTCAGCGTTCATGCAATATTAATGCCGGGATCATGAGTGTTCAGAGTTCAAACCGTGAGCCTTTAGACACCCACACAATGACAATTCAAGCGCATCGAATAAGGTTTTGCTGACACAAAGCGCGCCAGTCAATATACCGATGATTTGTTGTCTCAGTTAGCGTAGTCATAAATATGAAATCAAATGACAGCATTTCATAATTCAGTTAGTTAACCACCAATCCATCAAACCACTCAATCAGTTCTAAACATAAGACGATCAAACAACTGCACCCATGCTGGCCGTAGTTAGAATGGGAATGCATTTCGGATGTTGATTACGTCACTCACCCCGCTAATCCGCCGAGGATCAGACGAACCTTCACCTTGTACTTGACTATGATGCCGAGGCTCTCCTTTGGGACAGTCTCAGAGATTCTGCAACGTAAGAGGACGCGTCACGGTCAGACTCATAAGGAAGGACCACACCCTTCTGCCAGACCTCTGCTCAGACATGGCATTTACATACACTAGTGGGACATGCTGGTAGTTCATGAGCAGGCCTCAGCTAATTTACAACGCTTAGCTATTTCAGAACGAAGTATTTACATACAACTACAACAGCGACAGACTGTTATACACCACACACGCCCTATTAGCCTACATAAGCCCCATCAGCCCCACATTGAGACATTTCAGACAACTAAAGACGTCTAACCTGACGACTAAGTGGGCCGAGGAGCCGGGATTACATTGCACATTCAGGGTCATTAGTGAATACCGAGATATCCACGACTGCCCAGACGGGGCAAAGAGCACTCACGGGAACAGACGACAACATAACTCATCTAGCCGGGACATCAACCTCACAGGGGCGACGGTCAATACCGTAGACCAGCGAGCCGAGAAACGTCGCTACTTTTAACATCATCCAGCACATCAGTTTGGGACGTGAGGTGACATTAAAACGGGGACGTGAAAAGTCGTGCGCATGAGGACGCTGGGACACAATGAATCAAAGCAATACTGTGCAAGAATCTTAAATTTGCAATGCTGACCTTTACGTCTTGGTCTACGCGAATTACACTGCGCTGGTATGACGGCAAAATGTCAGGAGCACGTTCATAACCATTGCAAGGCAGACATTTTATATTGCTGGATGCAGCGTACCACGCAGCTTTCATCATCCTGTTCTGACCGTGTGCCTGTTGCCATGGTTACGTACATGGTTGATGACGCCAGGTTGGTGTCTTCACACTTGAGTTGTCCGTCGAGCGCCAGACCGTACTTGTCCTTGTTGTGCGCCAGAAGAGGTGTTAGAGTGTACACTTTACTGAGTGTGAAACCCGGTCCGACCGGACAGCCCTCCCTGGCGACAGATAAATGACACAGCACAGGTCAGGTTACGCCAGGTGTCAGAGGTCATGCTTCCATAAGTGTGAGTGAGACCCGTTCCAGTCCGATAACCTTATCTGGTGACGCAACTGTTATAACGGAGTACAGGGCAAGGGTATTCAGATGGGACTGAACTTGACAGCATAATGGAATTAACATTGAGCACAGTTGAAACATCGTATCATCTTTAACATAAGCACACAAGCCTCAAATACTAGGCATGTTACGTCATCGAACTGCATTTTAAACAGCGTTATGAAGGCGCGACGGGGTCCGTAAATGACAGGACCGGAAGGACGATGAGCTAACACAACGGCCCATGGGCCCGTATCGATCAGACATGCCACGATCAGGACACCCCAGAAGACCTGCGGAGGTCATGATATTTGGGGGTTTTGGCACCCAGACTGCAGGGGTCATCAATGTCCAGTGGAGGTCACTGGCCGGTCATGTCAGTTCAGTGGAGATTGTGGGTCGCTAATGCCCATTCAGTATAGGTCACGGACTGGGTTACTGCAGTAAAAGTCACGGACCAGTGGAGATCGGTGTAGTGGAAAGTAGCTCGGATCAATGAAGCTCAACAGAGCACGCACCGGTCCGATCGACACGACATCCGACCATACCCACGTCTTGCCGTATCCCCGTGCAAAACAGCACCAATCGCAGATGATAGAAGGTACAACCTTATGCTGGCCTTCAACTGACCACCAGAGCATTGCGCAAGGAAATTTGTTGGGCACAAGAAAAAAGAAACGTTTCATACGTATCACAGAGACAGTCACACAGCGATAAAATAGGGTCACAGCGACGCTTTGATCATTGAAGCATACATTTTGCAGCTGTCAACAATGCAGCTCGTTCCAGTAATCATGTTCTACGCAAGGTCATATATAGTGTTCTACGCGCGATCCGCTAATCAGAACATCCCGCCACAGACCACCAAAAGCCGCAGCTAATCAGGCTGTCCTGAATACTGGGTTGCCGTCAACAAACGCTTCCAACCACATACTGAAATTGCTCCGGTTGTTTTCAATAGAAAAACAATTCTAACGAATAGTGTTTGTCTATTTCAAACAACCTGCGGTTACAATGTGAATTGTTAAAGATAAAATGACCCGTCCGCTCGGAAACACAATATGCTGCGTTATAGGAATGAAGTGGGCAGCGATAAGGCAAAGGATATATCCGACGTGTTGAATAATTCACAACAACCAAGCGCAAACACTGCCTGATTAAAACCTAATTGGGCATTCTGGAAATGCATTCCAAATAAAAGCAACATGTGACCAGACTACTGGTAGAATCCTCTGAAGTCCGCTAACCACTTTATGTTGATCAGCTTGGAGCACAACTTTGGCAGAAAGACAAACTCTGGAGAGGCGTGACGGTACTAATTAAGCTCGGTTTTAATGGCTACCCCACAGACAAGTCGTTAACCATGGGTTCAAAGTTTCCTGTAGATGAACGCCGAGCGGTTAGTATGAATTGCGATGAAACGCCGGGAGAGGATCGTCGCATGGTCATGGCTGTTCTCGTCTGAAGACAGTGCCCCAAGGAGCATCTTGCATTCGTTGACGTCAGGAAGAGGTCAGTCAATACCACCTGATGCCTCGGTAAGCAGATCGTGACCCAACTATGTAGGACAGGTCAAGTGGACAAGCCGCGAGCTGGTTCGAAACGGGAAACGGGAAGAGACAGGACGGGAAAAGGCCCACAGGACGGCACGGACGGGATGGGGGGATAGGGCAGGGTTTGGTCCAGAAAACGGGATGGGGGGAGGGAGACAGCAAAGCAGGATTAGACTCAGTAGACAAGACGAACTGGACAGGTTGTGGCAGCGGCTCACTGGACCAGAAAGTCTGCTCCCGACGGTCAACATCCACCCCCACCAACATGATTGCATAGCTGCGAAAGCAATCCAAATAAGGTCGCGTGCCACTTCATGCCATTTTCTCAAACAAGTCCGTTCCTCGAAATGCTCTCCCCTCAACATACCAAGTCTTTCATTAGGTACACGCTCGACAGAAATTGCACAGAATTCACGGTAATCTAACCCTCAAGACAAGACCCGCGACATCCCAAGTATCTCCCTAATCACCCACCACTTAATTATGCTGACAATGACCCTCCGTCGATTGCCGGACGGGAGGTCGCATATCCCCATCGGCGCCAGTGACGCTGGGCCGCCAATATCCCGACTGTCCACCCCGCCCAACGAAAGCGACGCGTCGACGGCGACGACACGACGTCGGTACGTCGCATGGGCGTCGACACTGCCGGCGGCGGCGGCAGATATCGCGCTCGTCTCCAGCCGGGGATGAGCTTCGGTTCCGTGATCTGAGCGCCTGGACGAGGAGGGGACACGGCGACGGGATAGGCTGCGGTACCCTTGGGTGTTGGGGAGAGAGCGGCGCTTCGAAAAGCATATTAGAGACTACGATATAAGTTGAATATGAAATGAATAATTTAACACTTATTAAAAACTTTTGGTAAACATCACATCACACGCCAGGTCTGAAGTTGAAAAAGTCTAATGCTCTCAGAACTTGATTGGTTCTACCGGACACTTTAAAGTTCCAACAAAATAGCACCGCACAGAGTAATGCGCCCACGCTCTAACAGTCTGCCAAAAAAAAGGAAGCATAAATCGACTTGCTTGGTAAGCGTTACTCGAGGAGGCGAATCGCCCTCATAACCTTGCACCTAAGTCGATACATCTGATACCCTGGTCGGTAAATCGTTCCAATGACCCAGTGGAATTAGCCGTCTCAAAGTGGAGCCACGTGCGGGTCGAGAACGCCTCGCTATCGAAAGGTCGTCAATTTCTTATAATGATCTCTAATACAGGGCCCAGCAGCAGATTCACTGCCGAAACGGTGAACCCCGAGCCACAATTATACGGCAGACATTAGCTATCGATAGCGCCGGCCGGACACCGTGAGCCATATATAGAGCACCGGCGCACGCCATCAATATCACTTCACAGCGGTGGGCGATTCCAGTCGGCCGAGAGGTGGGCGTTTCGCCTTTATTTGCGCCACAATAGAGACGCCATTGGCCAGTCCCGAGCGGACGCGGATAGGGAGAGTCCCTGTTTCGTTAGATACCGTTTCCTCCCACTCATTCCACATGCAATGGACACCATTATGGCCGCCTCACTGCGCGGCGGGAAGCCAGGCAGGTGCGTCGTCAGCCGAGAAAAAATAACGAGCAGAGCCTTTCATAACTCAGGCCACCGACGACCACACGCAGAGGGTCAGAGAGCTGCAACCCTGAGGTCACTGGCTGACCTCTGACCTCTGCCTCCTAACTGTTCAGCTCAGTGAGTATTCAAGTCACGCAGTCCACGCAGCGGACGGAGAGTTCGTTCTGCGTTGAGATCCGTTGCTGAAGCTACGCACGCAGTCTGCATAGATCCACATCAAAGGTCAGTCTGCAAACCTGACGTAAATCTGCCAAACTGTCTACATCCCTAAATCATATCCCTATCATGCCAGTGCCACATTGGTTTCAATTTCCAGACGAATGATCTCCAGCGACGGAAGAATCCATCATATCTGAGAATGTCAGCGCGGATTCCAATATCGCCCATTTGGAATTGTGCGTGGATATATAAAAGACCACAGCCCCAGCTGAGTGAAAGGTCCCTCTGACAAAACACTCGGCGGCCGCTATTGGAGTGGCTCTGTGCGCCACCTTTATTTTCCTGGCCATCACATATTAAATTTCTTTAGAGCGGCCTGCGTGAAGGAAAAAGCTCTCATCATAGAAATGCTGAAAGGTTATGGAAATGGTAAACGAAATAGCCCCTCCCAATTTTTTTCCGCGCCACTCGGAGGGCCTCACACTATACCGCACAAAGGAAGATACCCACTGGCCGGGCGCGGCTGGAGAAATAATAAATCATCCCGTTCATATACAGAACGAAAATACTTCTCAATATTCCACAAGCCTCTGCGCCGTGTTTTCTATTGCTTCCACATCGACTAATAAAAACGGCAAGAAAATAGCGCAAACCATCAATTGTAGTCCAATTTAGTAAACACATTTTTCACAATATCTCTTTGGTGGATGGTTTTTGGTTACCTACTTGATGCCCTATAGTGAAACGACGGGCTATGCTCCTCAGCAAATAATCGTACAATAAAACATAATGCAAACAACAATACACTGGTAATTTCTCCACAAATGTTCGTTGGTAATTGGTAATAACACTGAATGCGTGAGATCAACACCACATTAACAGCTTCTTCAGCATACGAACGCAATAAATTCCCAAAACAGCTAACGAGCTAAAATTAAAACTAACGGCATGCTGAAGACATAAGCTGCAAATTACCATGACACTAACGACCACACCAGGATACATGAATGTTGCAGAACTGCTCAGCAGCGCCACAGGTCTGCCGGTTTCCGGGAGTCGGCCGCCCACGCGCCCAGCATTTTCACTGACTTCCTGGGCAATCCCGTGCCGCACCGGTCTCATCAGGCGGCGCGCGCTATGAGATGGCCGCTCATCATGGGCCTGGAAACGAATCACGCTTCCGGGATTGCCAAGTCTGAGACGGTGTGAGAGAAAGATGGCAGGTAATGCGAAGTAGGCAACGCACCGGATGAGACGCGAGGAATTGAAATTCCCCGCGAGGGAAGAGGGGGGGGGGGGGGAGGTCTGACGGGAAAAGGTAGACGGGAGTTGTAATGGTGTCGGTGATGGTGATTGGTGATGTCCGAGAGAGTGATGTGACGGTCCTGGTGGGGTGAGGGTGACGATGACGGTGACTTTGGGTGAGGGATAGGAATTACTCGGCTGCAGCATCGGCCGAGTCTCTATTATTACTGGACTTCAGTTGAGGCCGGCTTATGGATAAACGAGAAGCTGCTTATATTCGGAACAAAGGCCCCGCAAAATAGTCCAGATTACACGCCGTTAGCATTTTCATTAACTATCTCTGACAATCGGTGTCGAAAATTTCATTAACCAGGGACAATTTCAAAGCATCAAATGTTTACCGCACCTTAGCTATGTCTGAAATTCTGTCTTTAAAGTCACAGTTAATAATTTCGTATTAAAACAAGGCTAGCATTAATAAGTGACGCGAGACTTTTCAGTTCAAATGTAAGGCAAGATTAAGGCAAAATGCAAGCAAACACAAATAAACCACGTTCTCCAAAATTAAACATGAGCAAACCAACATTTTCACCTTACTGCATCCCTCGCTACCAACACCACCATCAAATACCCCAGCATTAGGTACTCACGATCCATCTGACCACCAAACACCTCTCCCAATCCAGTCCCGTCTTATGCACGTGACCCGTCAATCTACTGCACTCTGAGTCTGAAGTCACCCTGGTCACCATCTCGGCTCCATTCCGCCGTTCAATAGGCCGCTCGGGGTCATCCCAGCGACCATCTATCTCGGTGGGACGCGCGTTAGTGGCGATCCAATGACTATGGGAGGACAGCGGCGCGGCGGTGACAAGATAGCGTGGTGACAGATATTGGCGATGGAGGTAGTGTCAGGACGATGATGCTGGAGAACACTGGAACTAAAGGACAGCGAACACTTGCAACAGTGGAGGGCAGCGATGGCGATGACAGCAACGCTGATGGACGGTGCAGGCACGGACAATTTTGTCGAGGGCGGCGGACTGTATGGGGGACGGTGGGCGGTGGAAGCAATGATGGCGGCGGCGGGTGATGACTGATGATGCCGGTGGACAAGATACCTTAGTAGCTCTGATGGCGGTGGACCGCGGCACCTCCACGGCTCTGATGGCAGCGTCTCGGCCGCTGTGATAAGACCAGGCAGACCGCGGCGTTACGGCCCGGCCCTGATGGTGGCGGACCGCGGCGGACCACGGTGGACCGTGGCGGCTCGGCGGCTCTGATGAGACCATCCATCAGCGAGGCGGCCGTGAAGCGCCGCCGGCACCGGCCGGCACGCGTCGCTTGAATTCCACGGCCGCCGCGGGGCGCCACATCGGCCCAGAGCCGCGGCAGGGCAGGCTGAACACGGGACTGGGATAGAGTGGAGCAAGGTGGAGCGAAAAAGAGAGGTGGAGCAATATCGACGGAACCGGGAACGCCTTAATCGTCTCGCCTACCTAATCAAGATTAAAAATTGCGACCAAACGCTATAGGTGCTCTTCGTAGACATAGGCGGCGGAACCACCGGGGCACCGGGGCACCGTGCCCCCCTTTGATTTTGGCAATTTAACATTAGCCCTATGGGCGTTGCATGAAAAGAATGGGACCAAAAGTCGGCGGTGCCCCCCCCCCCCTTAATTGAAGGTGTTCCGCCGCTACTGTTCGTAGATGAAGAAATTTCCACATAGAATGGAATTTGCACAAAAGTAAAACTCATGCACTTTACCAACGTCCTCTCACATTTCCCAAAATACACCCCTGCCAGCGCGCCCGCTGCTGCGGCGGCGGTCTCCGGCCAGCAACAAGTGGCCACCCGCCGGTGCCGACAGACATACGAGCCGTTCGCACGGGCGGGACCCGGTCGATCGGTCCATGGCCCGCGGCGAACACAGAGGTCACGGTCCCGTCCGGCAGGCAGCAGCGGAAGGTGAAAGGTGGAAGGTGGTCGGTGGACGATGGACAGCGGTCGGTTGTCGGTGGACGGTAGGTGTTGGTCAGCTGGTTGTATGCACGGTGGATGGTGGAGACTGGACGGCGGACGCAGGATGGTGGTCCAGCCTTGGGTGGTCGTTGGTCAATGGTCGGTGGTAGATGGTGGGCGGTGGGTGGTTGGTGGTTTCACTGGTTAGTAGTCAGTGGTCTATGGCCGGTGGTTGGTGGCCGATGTTCGGTGGTTAATAGTCGGCGGACAATGGACCTTAGTCGGTGGTTGGTGCTCAGCATTG